AAGGTCTTATCTATTCTGTGAATGATTCTCAAAGGCTTTGTTCAAAAACACCAACAGAAGATGAACTTGTGGGATTCAACATCCTTTAACACGCCTTAATACTTATTCATTCTTAGGACTAAATCATTAATAGCTTCAATGAACGGCAGGTCATGCTCAGTAAACGCTCCCAAGGTACATTTTGAATTCAGACGTCATTATAGTCTCTTAAAAGCTTTGCAAATGGTTTGTACAAATAGATCTTGACCTTTAGATATTTGAGCTCAATCCAAATGTTGTTGGGATACTTCAAACCTCACATGTAAACCCCATAGTTCCTCTAAATGGAAAGCAAGAGGAGAGCCAACCTCCTGAAGAGTAACCTGAACGCTTCTACCAATTGATACACAGTCAATCAAGCAAATGTTGATATGTTTGAATGAAACACTGGATCTGGAGCCTCTCCGGTTGAAGCAGTCCTCTTGATTATCCTCAGACGTGTGTAATCCCTGTGAACAGCTGATTGATTCAGACTGATGAATCCCAGGAGTGTGAGCTGACCTGAAAGTCTTAATTGATGCCAGCGCTAATGTAAACACTCGCTGCGGGAACATGTTGCCGCTCGCTCTCTGGCGGCCGGTAACGGATGATCAGCTGGCCTGACAGCTGCACGGCTGCCGGCACATCTCACTGCGAGGCAGCAGGAAGCTCGTCAAGTCGCGTTTAGCGCACCGTGGGGAGCCCTGTTGTTGTTGCAGACACACACACACACACACACACACACACACACACACACACACACACACACACACACACACACACACACACACACACTGTTTCACTGCCTCTGACATGAGCACAGATTAGTGTTAATCACTGCAAACAACACGAGTGAAGCGCCAGAGCCTCGGCTGATCATCTGCAGGTTCCCGTCTGTAAACGATCTCACCGGATAACTACAGTATTTCATCTGAACACTATATAACTACAGTATTTAATCTGAACACTATATAACTACAGTATTTCATCTGAACACTATATAACTACAGTATGTAATCTGAACACTATATAACTACAGTATGTAATCTGAACACTATATAACTACAGTATTTAATCTGAACACTATATAACTACAGTATTTAATCTGTATATTCCATGGAATGCTCTTAACATCCCGATAGCAATGAATATCTGAAGTGCTTTGACAAAAGATCCATAAATAAATATCATCTGTGGAAGCCGTAGTACTGTAAAAAGCACGACCAATCATCTGAGCCGGCCCGGCTAAAATAACTGGATGGCCTACCTGCCTGTCAGCCTTCCATCTGTGCACACACTTATCTCGTGCCCTCATTGGTCATGTGTGCGTTCGTGTGTGTTGGAGGAGGGGCTCTGTAAGGAAGTGGCAGATTTCTTCCGGTTGTGTATTTTCAAATTCTAGCGCACTCGAGCCGGTTTCTCAAACTTACCTACCCCTACCTTTAGCGATTTAGTGCACAAATACTCTCTAATCTGAACACTCTCACACACCAGATAACTACAGTCTTTAATCTGAACACTCTCACAGATCTGAAACACATCTCCTCCCCACTGGAACATCTGCAGGATGACTGAACCCGTTTTCATTAAAGAGAGAAAGATCCAGCTGATAATTCAACGATGGTCCGTCTGTTCAGAGATTCTTCAGAAGACAAATCCTCGTTTAATTCACCAGATGTGCGTCTGACAAGAAATGGCATTTTAAACATCTGTGTTATTGAATTACTTTCAGCCAAGCTCGGCTGCTGCAGTCGATGAACGCTCACAAAGACACTCCTTCTGCTGGTGTTTAGCAACTAGAGTTAGGGGTAATATCAATCCATCCAATCACAGACCAGATTAAGGGTGAGATCATTTTCCTCTGTCTGGCAGTTTTCACTTAAAGCAACAAAATGTAACCTCATGGTGGCGCTAAACGCAAAGTCGTAGAATCACCCAATTCTTAAGGCTTCATCCTCTGGGGAACATCCATCTCTGTACCACATTTCATCCCAATCCACAAAATTGTTTTATATATATTTCAGTTTTTCCCAAACTGGTGACCAACCAATCAACAAACTGGCGTTGTCACCACGTTAGCCGCCGTTAGCATGGCTAAAACCAAGCTAGCATGCTGGAATGACTTTCTTTACGCTCTTCTGTGTCTGCTGTATTCTCTCCAGGATGATGAGCTTCACCTCAGAGTGTCTTTGAGTATATTTAGGACTTTCTTCACATGAGGATTAATCCTCTGGGTTTTTATCGAGGTGTTGATTCAGCAGTCAACAAACTGGATAAGCGCCGTTAGCATGGCTAAAAACAAAGCTAATTAGTGTCTAATGTGTGCTGTATTTACTCCAAGATGATGAGCTTCACCTTGAGTCTCTTGAGAGTATTTTAGGACTCTCTCTTCCCCCCATCACCAATTTCTAAAGGATTAATCCTCTGGGTTTTTATCGAGGTGTTGATTCAGCAGTCAACAAACTGGATAACCGCCGTTAGCATGGCTAAAAACAAGCTAGCAAGCTGGAATGACTTTCTCTACGCTCTTCTGTGTCTCCTGTATTCTCTCCAGGATGATGAGCCTCACCTCGAGTCTCTTGAGAGTATTTTAGGACTTTCTTTACACCCCCATCCTCTGGGTTTTTATCGAAGTGTCAACAAACTGGCGTTGACATCACGATAGCCGCCGTTAGCATGGCTAAAAACAAAGCTAATTAGTGTCTAATGTCTGCTGTATTCCTCCAGGATGATGAGCTTCACCTCGAGTCTCTTTAGGATGTTTCAGACACTCTTTACTCCCCCATCTCCCCCATCTCTCCCCCCCTCCGTCACTCTGAAGGCTTCTTGGCGTTTTGTCGCCGCTCATTACGCCCAGCGTGTCTTTCGAAGGGTCACCAGCGATCTCTAATGAAAGCTGAGCGGAGGGCAGTCCTCTGTCCATCATCAGAAATGTCCATCTCCCCCTCCCCTCTCTCTCTCTCTCTCGCTCTCTCTCTCTTCTTCTGTGGTGCCTCCCCCTCGCCTCTCTACAGCAGAATCATTTAAGATAAGACTTTATTCATCCTGAAGGAAATAGTTGTGTCAGAGTTACAATAATAAACTGTACACTAACAGTAAAAAGAGCAATTCAATAACTCCAGGAAACACACGGTCACATCATGAAGGTGCAAAAGAACGTAGTGGCAGATACGTAATTGCACGTTATTATAGAACACTATTAATAATAATGTTATATATCAGAGAGTGTTGGACAAACAGAACCCGTGCTTCAACAAGAGATTCATCTGGAAAATACGTGATTTTAGGAAATGTTTTAACAACAATATCACGATTTTTAAATTAAGATATAAAAATAAAAATATTTGATTTTTGTCCAAAAGAAAAAAACGTATTGTTTCCATAAATATTAATTAAATCTCGTGCCAATATATATTTGTAGAATGCGATTAAAATATAAAAACATGTGTAAAATATCACCTCTTTTCTCTGCAACGTACTCAATCACATATCTGATGAGAAGGTGCGTTTACATTTATATAAAAGGGAATAAAACAGATTAAAAAAAAGAGAGATTTGAGCCGTTTATCTCACGCTTTCATTGATAAACAGATTTGTAAAAGGGTCTGCAGGTTGAGGGTCTGAACCCCTGCTGTCCGTCAGACCCTCGAGCAGCTGATGCAGTAAATGATGGCCCTTCACGGCTGGACTCTATTAATATCGTGTGTCGGAGTGTTAATGCGGCGGATCTCCAGAGAAGTGACACGCGTGGCAGCGCCGCTGTAATTGCTAATCAGCGGACGGTTTTATCCGCTCTGATCCCCCCCCTCTCTGACCTTCCTGCCCCCCCCCTCCATCCCATAATGATCCAGATGAAGTGTGGGCGCTCGGCCTAAACGGCAGCGAGCCGAGGCTGATGTGCGTAGGAGAGGATTTTTAAAAAGTCAGACAATTAGAGCGCCTCGTAGAGAGAGTAGCTCCGCTTGTTAGAGATGTTGTGGGTTTTTTGTTTTTTTGGGAGGACTTTTATTTTAATCGTCTCCGGGCTCGTTATCTTCGCTCCGGAGACTCCGAGCGGAGATACAAGAGTGGAGATGTTGTAAAATAAAAAAGGCACAAATAGGACATTCTGCTTCGGAAACACGTTAAAAGTTAACGTCCAATTTATAGTTTGTAACCAAGAAGTGAAGAAGTCATTCTTTCCTGTTGTCTAGTCACATTATTTTAATTCATGTTCTGTACGGTCATGTGTTCGTGGCTTTGGGACGGAGAGAGAGAGGTTCCTCTAACAAAAACTATTTCCCAATTTGGGATCAATAAAGTACGATCTATCTATCTATCTATCTATCTATCTATCTATCTATCTATCTATCAACTACGTGTGGAAAACTGATGTGTTCGTGGCTTTGGAACAGAGAGAGAGAGGTTCCTGAACTACGTGTGAAAAACTACACGTTTCACCTAAAAATGTGATTTTTATCAAAATGTTACAGATTTCACCTAAAAAAGATTTAGTTTGTTGCAAACGTGTTAAATAATAAAATAATATTCAAACAAACAAAAAAAAGAATTCCTATTTAATATATTTATATTAATTGTTTCTTTATAACAGTTTTTACCAAATAGAAAATCAGGGGTGTGTGTGTGTGTGTGTGTGTGTGTGTGTGTGTGTGTGTGTGTGTGTGTGTGTGTGTGTGTGTGTGTGTGTGTGTGTGTGTGTGTGTGTGTGTGTTGTGTGTGTGTGTGTGTGTGTGTGTGTGTGTGTGTGTGTGTGTGTGTGTGTGTGTGTGTGTGTGTGTGTGTGTGTGTGTGTGTGTGTGTGTGTGTGTGTGTGTGTGTGTGTGTGTGTGTGTGTGTGTGTGTGTGTGTGTGTTTTATAAAGTACTTTAAATGTGTGTATTGATACTAAATGTGTGTGTTGATACTAAATGTGTGTGTGTGTGTTTTATGAAGTACTTTAAATGTGTGTGTTGATACTAAATGTGTGTGTCTCTTGTGTGCAGGGCATGCTGCTGAAGAGGAGTGGTAAATCTCTGAATAAAGAGTGGAAGAAGAAGTACGTGACGCTGTGTGACAACGGACTGCTCACCTACCACCCCAGCCTGCATGTAAGACACACACACACACACACACACTCACACACACACACACACTCAGTCTCATTACAATCCTTCTCTGATTGCTTATTAGACTGCAGCTCTCTGCCAGCCTGCACTGACCTCCATCTATCTGCTGCACACACACACACACACACACAGACACACACACACACACACACACACACACACACACACACACACACACACACACAGACAGTTATGTGTGTGTGTGTGTTGATGGTTGTGTATTAATTAGGACTCGTCATCTGTTTGCCCACGTCGGCGTTGATGATGTGAATATCAGCTGTAATGTCTCCGCTAATTGTCCCGGCACTCTGCCCTGTTGGCACAGCATCGTACACACACACACACACACACACACGCACACGCACACGCACACGCACACGCACACGCACACACACACACACACACTCCCACACACACACACACACACACACTCCCTGTCCTCTGCTTCATCTCGCTGCAGAAGCTTCTCATTCGACAGGTTTTTCTCGACGCACTAACGGTGTTTTAACCCATTTTGTTCCAATTAACCAATTAAAATAAATCTATATATTATTTGAAGTGTTGTTCAGCGTCAGCAGAATAATGTGGGATCAACAGATCCACAATACACTTAAGAATACATATATAAACAAATGTGCTTCAACAGTTTCATGTAGAAAATACATGATTAGGTCAAATGTGATATTTTTAGGACATTTTTACTCAAAAGTTATCACATTTTTTAATCCAAATATTTTGAAAGATACACAATTTTGTGTCCAATAGAATAAATAACTGTATTTGTTCCATAATATTAATTAAATCTCGCCCAAAATATATTATGAAAAATGTGATTACAAATAGAAACATCATTTCTTTTCTCTGCACCGAACACAAGAACAGTTTACAATTATTAAAGGGTTCAAACTTAGAAAAGAGAGATTTGATTATCTCACGCTTTAATTAGCATTTAAACGTTTCTTAAATTGATAAACAGAATTTTTAAACGGGAGCTCTGGTTGAGGGTTTGAATCCCTGCGGAGTCCTGCTGTCCGTCAGCCATTAGAGGAGCTGATGCAGTAAATTAGTGTTAAAACTCATCACACACACACACACACACACACACACACACACACACACACACACACACACACACACACACACACACACACACACACACACACACACACACACACACACACACACTGCCTGGAGCTGCGAGAGAAAAGCTGCTTCTGTTGCTTCGTCAATTAGCGCGTTAGCGGAGGCTAATGGAATGAAACCCAATCAGAGCCTCTAATTGGCCGACTATGTGCAAGGAAGTCTCGTTAATGCGCTAATTGAGAGGAAGCAGAGGAGGCTGCTGATTGGCAGGAGAAGTGGCGCCTAAAAAAGTGAGGAAGAGGAAGAGTGTGCCAAAAGCAAAAAGTGATGAATCACACGGACAGGAAACAGGTAGGGGGCGGGCTCTACTGAGGCCACGCCCCCTACAGGTGAGCTCTGCAGAAATACAACAGGGGAACAAATGTGTAAATGTATAGTTAGAATGACTCAAACTCCTCTTCATCAATTTCCCTTCGTCTTCATCACGCCCTGCTTAGCACTTCCTGTCTGCTTCCTCTTCTTCCCCTTCATCATCTTCTTCTTCCTCTTCATCATCTTCTGCTTCTCCTTTATCTCCCGCCGGTCTTCCTCTCATCGATCGTGTGTTTTCGCTCCGTATGGATCCTCGTTTCCCTCGGCGTCAGCAGCTCTCACACACACACACACACACACACACACACACACACACACACACACACACACACACACACACACACCACCTGCTGTCGATACACACACCCTTCCTGGACAGTCGGAACGATGATGAAAGCTCCACGATGCAAATGGAGACTCAATTACCTCGGTCAATCTGTCGGAGGGAGTGTGTGTGTGTGTTTGTGTGTGTGTGTGTGTGTGTGTGTTTGTGTGGGTGTGTGTGTGTGTGAGGGGTTTACTCTCCGGTGGCTTGTTAAGACGCCGTCGAGAGCACTTGGCTTTGAATTGGCCTTTTGTCAGCCGAGCTGCCAGAGGGAGGCTGTGTGTGTGTGTGTGTGTGTGTGTGTGTGTGTGTGTGTGTGTGTGTGTGTGTGTGTGTGTGTGTGTGTGTGTGTGTGTGTGTGTGTGTGTGTGTGTGTGTGTGTGTGTGTGTGTGTGTGTGTGTGTGTGTGTGTGTGTGTGTGTGTGTGTGTGTGTGTGTGTGTGTGTGTGTGTGTGTGTGTGTGTGTGTGTGTGTGTGTGTGTGTGTGTGTGTGTGTGTGTGTGTGTGTGTGTGTGTGTCCCAATTAGAGTCTGGTTTCTGGATGTCTTCTCTCCTCGTTTTGTGAGACGAGAGTTGGTTTGAAGTTGAGATGATGTTCGTGTTGATGTGACTGAACAGCTGTTTGGGAAGTTTTACACACATTTGAAATGCTTTAAATTAAATATTCAAACATATTAAAGTGCAAAATGTATGTTATTAGGGATGTTTAGACACAATGATGCTCAAAATGTCTTCTTTAAAACCGTTCCTAATGTCTCTGAGTCGTCCTCTCCGGTCCCCGCGTTGACAGCAGGACAGGAACCCCCCATGGTGTGTGTGTGTGTGTGTTCCTCGTCGCCTCCTTCATGTTGAAGAGGACGCCGACCTCCCACAATGCACTGCTTCTCCGGGGTCACACGGGGGGCGTTTAACAAGCGCCTCTCGTGGTCATTAACGCCGAAAGGGGCGTGTCCCTCGGCCGGGCGTAGCCAATCAGAGGCTGCGATCTGAGCCACTTCAACATCACTTTGAGGATTACTGCGTCTTTGTTTCCGTGGAGGATTTAGACTTCCCATAATCCTCCTCTTCACACCGAACACACTCAGGATGAAGAGCTCCGTCTGCTCTCATGCACACACACACACACACACACACACACACACACACACACACACACACACACACACACACACACACACACACACAGCTGATGTCAGTGTGTAGATGTTCCCCTAAGTCTCTTCATCTACATTGTATTGAATGATATGTTTATTGATTCTTAATATTGATCTGAATTGAAGTTGTTATTTCTTTTCTAAATGAACTGTTGTTATTTATATCTTAATACCTCCAGGACTACATGCAGAACGTGCACGGGAAGGAGATCGACCTCCTGAGGACCACAGTGAAGGTCCCGGGGAAACGACCCCCCCGAGCCGTGAGCTCCGTCAGCGCCGTGCCGAGCCCCAAAACCAACGGGCTCAACAAGGAGATGGGCGGCCTGCAGCTGGGGGGCGCTCCAGGTGAGCAAAACACACCTGTAACACACCTGGGGGTCATTAGAGAGAGATATAAACACATATAAGTGACAGGGCGTAAAATAAGTGCAAAAAATACAATTATATATAAAATCAACAGCAGTATGTGCAAGAAAATGATAAATAAATAGCGAGAATACAATTTAATTTAATAAAATATAATATTATTTTACGTATGATTATTCAGAAAGGAAAAACATTTAAAATTATATATATAATTCAATAAAATATAATGGCTTTATTATAAAACAAGAAAAATATATATCAAATATATAATAATAAAATATAATATAACAACAATATATTAAACGCTATAATTTAAATGCAATATTGTGAGAATAATAATAACAAAGAATTGCATTAGATAGCTTTAGTAGTATTTTAATAAACCAATAACTCATGTAATAAATGAATCCCAGTCGTATTGAAGAGGTTTCTCCAGGAGCATGTTGTGTGGTATTAGAAACGGATCAGGGTCTGAAGTCGAGGAACATCCAGTAATGAAGTGCGACTGGAGGACATTTATTCATTCATTCATTAATCCTCTAATTACCGCTCGACGTCAACAACATATAACCAGCCTGGAACTCACTTCTGTCGAGGAGGGAGCTCGTAAAACAAGAGGTGGAGAGAACAAGCGCTCCTCCACCAAGCGCACATAAAAGAGGCTCTTATGAGGCGGCTAAATCAAACACACACACACACACACACACACACACACACACACACACACACACACACACACACACACACACACACACACACACACACACACACACACACACACACACACACACACACACACACACACACACAGGGATCCAGGAGCTAATAGCATGAATATTCAGCGAGCCGTGCTCCATGTACTAATTATTGTCATGAATATTAATGCAATCAGAGTCCTGGCTCCACTCAGCCTGACCGAAACATGAGCTGTAATGAGAGGGAGGGGGGGGGGGGGGGTGTGTGTGTGAGTGTGAGAGAGGAGGGGGAGGTAACAGGGTGAGGGAGGGGGGGGGGTGATTCACTAACAGCCTCTCACTAACTCAAGGGTTTGATTTAAGCTGCAGCCTGTAAGAAGCTGCCTTTTATCCAAGAGTGTGTGTGTGTGTGTGTGTGTGTGTGTGTGTGTGTGTGTGTGTGTGTGTGTGTGTGTGTGTGTGTGTGTGTGTGTGTGTGTGTGTGTGTGTGTGTGTGTGTGTGTGTGTGTGTGTGTGTGTGTGTGTGTGTGTGTGTGTGTGTGTGTGTGTGTGTGTGTGTGTGTGTGTGTGTGTGTGTGTGTGTGTGTGTGTGTGTGTGTGTGTGTGTGTGTGTGTGTGTGTGTGTGTGTAAGATGTGTAGTCACCTGGAAACACCAAGCACAGGAAAATGTGAAGAAGTTTATTAAAAAGCAAGATGCAAAAGAATCTCATTTAAAATGGTATTAATATGTGGAGATTATCAACAACCTGACCTCACTCTCTGTCCCACTGTGACCTCACTTCCTGTCCCTCTGTGACCTCACTGTGACCTCACTTCCTGTCCCTCTGTGACCTCACTAGGTTCAGTCTCCAGCTCCTCCTCTCAGATGTTGAGCGGCGTGTCTCTCGTCTCGTTCTCGGGGCGAGGGATCGATCATCAGCGCTCGTACTCCGTCTCCAGCGCCGACCAGTGGAGCGAAGCAGGAGTCGTCATCGCCAACTCTGGAGTCAGCACAGGTGAGCAGTCAATTAACCAATTAGTCAATTCATACTGAGTCAGCACAGGTAACCAGTCCATTTCATTTAAAAACCTTTTAATCCTAGTAGAAGATTATAATTTATAAATATAGTCCTGACGTGCAGGTGGGTCCTCACACGCAGCTCCACCACCGGGCTCAGAGGGCCCCTGTGCGCAGCTCCGCAGTGGAGCCTATCATTTGTCTCCCATTGATCCAGCTGCCAGACTAACGCTGCTCCCACTGTTTGTCAAGCTAATGGCCACCGAGACCTCACACACACACACACACACACACACACACACACACACACACACACACACACACACACACACACACACACACACACACACACAGAGGGAGACGCTGAGACTGACAGCTGTGTTGCCGCGACAAATAATTTTGACTGACAGCTCTCTCGTCAGCCCTGCAGCCGTCCTCAAATAACGTTTAAAGCTGCGAAATGCTTTAAAACGCACTCCCAGGGGCCACACACACACACACACACACACACACACACACACACACAGTAGTGGCTTCTCTAAATAAAGTCATTAAATAAAGAGGCCCTAGTATTCTCCTGTCCTGGTTAATATCAGTATTCACTGGCTCTACTGTGTCCCGCCCCTTAGCCTATCAAATACAATGTGTTGGAGCGCTAGCCAATAGGAGCGCGAGTGTTGCATAGTGATGTCACTATGTTAGGGAAGTAAACAAAGGAGGGATTTCATGACCAACAACTGTTTCTAATTGTATGTAAAGCGTCTTTGAGCACTGGGAAAAGCACTATCAAAATGTAATGTTTTATTATTATTTATTATTATTTATTATTTGCCTCTTGATACTTATAGAAGTGGGTGTGTGTGTGTGTGTGTGTGTGTGTGTGTGTGTGTGTGTGTGTGTGTGTGTGTGTGTGTGTGTGTGTGTGTGTGTGTGTGTGTGTGTGTGTGTGTGTGTGTGTGTGTGTGTGTGTGTGTGTGTGTGTGTGTGTGTGTGTGTGTGTGTGTGTGTGTGTGTGTGTGTGTGTGTGTGTGTGTGTGTGTGTGTGTGTGTGTGTGTGTGTGTGTGTGTGTGTGTGTGTGTGTGTGTGTGTGTGTGTGTGTGACGTGCAGATGGGAGGGCCGTTAATCCACGGCGGTTAATTGCACTCTCGGGGATGGCATCTTGTCAGCAGAGATAAGTTGTCACATTTTCCACTTGAGCTGAGACTAAACGATTGTAAAATAAGTTATGGCCGTCCTTGGGGCTGTCTGCCGACCAGCCGCTGTGTGTGTGTGTGTGTGTGGTAGTGTGTGTGTGTGTGTGTGTGTGTGTGTCTCATGTCAGAGTCTCGCCGTGCCGTGATATTGATGGAAGCTGAATGTTATTTTATTCCGCCGCTAGTCACAGCTGTCAGAGGGAGAGAGGAAACGCTGGCCTCTGATTGGCCGGCTCGCCCTCATCCTCCAGACATGCACCTCCACCCGAACTCCCAGCATCCATCAGGGTTTCACTTCTCGTTTAGATTCTGGGTTATTATTCTGGTATTTTACCCAGAAGTCCAGCTGTTCTTTGCACTGAAGCCTCTCACAGTATATTATTAATATGTGTATATATATATGTTTCAGATACTGGTCTGGGGACTCTCTGTGTTCCAGTCCCCTTAATACATATATATATGTTTCAGATACTGGTCTGGGGACTCTCTGTGTTCCAGCCCCCTTAATACATATATATATGTTTCAGATACTGGTCTGGGGACTCTCTGTGTTCCAGTCCCCTTAATACATATATATATGTTTCAGATACTGGTCTGGGGACTCTCTGTGTTCCAGTCCCCTTAATACATATATATATGTTTCAGATACTGGTCTGGGGACTCTCTGTGTTCCAGTCCCCTTAATACATATATATATGTTTCAGATACTGGTCTGGGGGACTCTCTGTGTTCCAGTCCCCTTAATACATATATATATGTTTCAGATACTGGTCTGGGGGACTCTCTGTGTTCCAGTCCCCTTAATATGTATATATATGTTTCAGATACTGGTCTGGGGACTCTCTGTGTTCCAGTCCCCTTAATACATATATATATGTTTCAGATACTGGTCTGGGGACTCTCTGTGTTCCAGTCCCCTTAATATGTATATATATGTTTCAGATACTGGTCTGGGGACTCTCTGTGTTCCAGTCCCCTTAATATGTATATATATGTTTCAGATACTGGTCTGGGGACTCTCTGTGTTCCAGTCCCCTTAATACATATATATATGTTTCAGATACTGGTCTGGGGGACTCTCTGTGTTCCAGTCCCCTTAATACATATATATATGTTTCAGATACTGGTCTGGGGGACTCTCTGTGTTCCAGTCCCCTTAATACATATATATATGTTTCAGATACTGGTCTGGGGACTCTCTGTGTTCCAGTCCCCTTAATACATATATATATGTTTCAGATACTGGTCTGGGGGACTCTCTGTGTTCCAGTCCCCTTAATATGTATATATATGTTTCAGATACTGGTCTGGGGGACTCTCTGTGTTCCAGTCCCCTTAATACATATATATATGTTTCAGATACTGGTCTGGGGACTCTCTGTGTTCCAGTCCCCTTAATATGTATATATATGTTTCAGATACTGGTCTGGGGACTCTCTGTGTTCCAGTCCCCTTAATATGTATATATATGTTTCAGATACTGGTCTGGGGACTCTCTGTGTTCCAGTCCCCTTAATATGTATATATATGTTTCAGATACTGGTCTGGGGACTCTCTGTGTTCCAGTCCCCTTAATATGTATATATATGTTTCAGATACTGGTCTGGGGGACTCTCTGTGTTCCAGTCCCCTTAATACATATATATATGTTTCAGATACTGGTCTGGGGACTCTCTGTGTTCCAGCCCCCTTAATATGTATATATATGTTTCAGATACTGGTCTGGGGACTCTCTGTGTTCCAGCCCCCTTAATATGTATATATATGTTTCAGATACTGGTCTGGGGACTCTCTGTGTTCCAGTCCCCTTAATATGTATATATATGTTTCAGATACTGGTCTGGGGACTCTCTCTGTTCCAGCCCCCTTAATATGTATATATATGTTTCAGATACTGGTCTGGGGGACTCTCTGTGTTCCAGTCCCCTTAATATGTATATATATGTTTCAGATACTGGTCTGGGGGACTCTCTGTGTTCCAGTCCCCTTAATATGTATATATATGTTTCAGATACTGGTCTGGGGACTCTCTGTGTTCCAGTCCCCTTAATATGTATATATGTTTCAGATACTGGTCTGGGGACTCTCTGTGTTCCAGTCCCCTTAATATGTATATATATGTTTCAGATACTGGTCTGGGGGACTCTCTGTGTTCCAGTCCCCTTAATACATATATATATGTTTCAGATACTGGTCTGGGGACTCTCTGTGTTCCAGCCCCCTTAATATGTATATATATGTTTCAGATACTGGTCTGGGGACTCTCTGTGTTCCAGCCCCCTTAATATGTATATATATGTTTCAGATACTGGTCTGGGGACTCTCTGTGTTCCAGTCCCCTTAATATGTATATATATGTTTCAGATACTGGTCTGGGGACTCTCTCTGTTCCAGCCCCCTTAATATGTATATATATGTTTCAGATACTGGTCTGGGGGACTCTCTGTGTTCCAGTCCCCTTAATATGTATATATATGTTTCAGATACTGGTCTGGGGGACTCTCTGTGTTCCAGTCCCCTTAATATGTATATATATGTTTCAGATACTGGTCTGGGGACTCTCTGTGTTCCAGTCCCCTTAATATGTATATATATGTTTCAGATACTGGTCTGGGGACTCTCTGTGTTCCAGTCCCCTTAATATGTATATATATGTTTCAGATACTGGTCTGGGGGACTCTCTGTGTTCCAGTCCCCTTAATATGTATATATATGTTTCAGATACTGGTCTGGGGACTCTCTGTGTTCCAGTCCCCTTAATATGTATATATATGTTTCAGATACTGGTCTGGGGACTCTCTGTGTTCCAGTCCCCTTAATATGTATATATATGTTTCAGATACTGGTCTGGGGGACTCTCTGTGTTCCAGTCCCCTTAATATGTATATATATGTTTCAGATACTGGTCTGGGGGACTCTCTGTGTTCCAGTCCCCTTAATATGTATATATATGTTTCAGATACTGGTCTGGGGACTCTCTGTGTTCCAGTCCCCTTAATATGTATATATATGTTTCAGATACTGGTCTGGGGACTCTCTGTGTTCCAGTCCCCTTAATATGTATATATATGTTTCAGATACTGGTCTGGGGGACTCTCTGTGTTCCAGTCCCCTTAATATGTATATATATGTTTCAGATACTGGTCTGGGGACTCTCTGTGTTCCAGTCCCCTTAATATGTATATATATGTTTCAGATACTGGTCTGGGGACTCTCTGTGTTCCAGTCCCCTTAATATGTATATATATGTTTCAGATACTGGTCTGGGGGACTCTCTGTGTTCCAGTCCCAGCCTCTCCAGCACCACGTCTCCTAAGATGGAGCCCCCTCCCTCGCCTCACGCCAACAGGAAGAAGCATCGCAGGAAGAAAAGCACCAGCAACTTCAAAGCTGACGGCCTCTCTGGTACTGCGGAAGGTAACGCCATTAAACCCCCCCATCACTTTCCTCACCCCGGTGCCACACACTAACACGTCCCCCAGAAACAAGGCTGAGGCACTTTAAATATATGTCCAAACATCTGTGGACTTGTTTTCTTCCAGTACGACCAAATACCGGCAATACTTACTGGTAAATACGTCCATATATGGTCAATACCTCCTCATCAATAAAGTACCTATCCATCTATCTATCTAAATACGTCCATATATGGGGTCAATACTCTGTTAAATATATCCATATATGGTCAATACTAACTTGTAAATACTTCCAAATATGGTAAATACTCTCTGTTAAATATGTCCATATATGGGCAATACTTCCTGGTCCCACACTGAAATATCTCCCCTAGAAACAAGGCTGAGGCACTTTAAATATAAGTCAAAACACCTATGGACTTGTTTTCTTCCATTACTTCCAAATATGGTCAATACTTCCTGGTAAATACTCCAATATGTATTTAGTGGACCGGGGTTTGGAAACGCAGTCATGTGATCGTGAGACTCCAGACCTCCTGCTGAGCGACGGATCTCCTCATCATCTTCATCCTCCTGCCCTTCATCCCTTCATCCTCCTCTTCCTCTTCCTCCTCTTCTCCTGTCAGTTTGCAACGTGTGTGAAGCTCGGTGTGAAGCTTGGTGTGGAAGAGAGTCAACAGGAAGTCTGTGATTTTAGCGTGTAATAATATATAACCTTCGGTGTAGCAGACGTGGAGCTGCTGCTCGTTTAAACACACACACACACACACACACACACACACACACACACACACACACACACACACACACACACACACACACACACACACACACACACACACACACACACACACTCTCTCTCACGGCTGGCTGAGCAGATGTTCAGCAGATGTGAAGAGTTTCTCTCTCCATCACAGAGTCACTGAGCCGAGACTGATAGATCCTTCATGTCCTCGCCTCCTTTCCTACCTCCTTTCCTACCTCCTAAATCCTACCTTCTACCTCCTACCTCCTTTCCTACCTCCTAAATTGTACCTTCTACCTCCTACGTCCTTTCCTACCTCCTAAATCCTACCTCCTACGTCCTTTCCTACCTCCTAAATCCCACCTCCTACCCCCTTTCCTACCTCCTAAATCCTCCCTTCTACCTCCTACCCCCTTTCCTACCTCCTAGTACTTACTGATCTACCTGTGTACTATATATCTGAGTACTCCATCAGGACAGTATTTACTGATCTACCTGTGTACTATATATCTGAGTACTCCATCAGGACAGTACTTACTGATCTACCTGTGTACTATATATCTGAGTACTCCATCAGGACAGTATTTACTGATCTACCTGTGTACTATATATCTGAGTACTCCATCAGGACAGTATTTACTGATCTACCTGTGTACTATATATCTGAGTACTCCATCAGGACAGTACTTACTGATCTACCTGTGTACTATATATCTGAGTACTCCATCAGGACAGTACTTACTGATCTACCTGTGTACTATATATCTGAGTACTCCATCAGGACAGTACTTACTGATCTACCTGTGTACTATATATCTGAGTACTCCATCAGGACAGTACTTACTGATCTACCTGTGTACTATATATCTGAGTACTCCATCAGGACAGTACTTGATGATGAAGTACTTCCCCTCCCCCTCTTTAAGTGAAATATTATAAATAATGTGGAGTCCTCGATCAGACGTTCATTATTCAGCAGCGATTAGTACCAGTCTTCCCAATTTAGCCATTAAGCTGCAGCAGGTGAGGGATCTGCTGTCAGGGGGGGGGATTAATGAGGGGGGGACCGCCCAGGTACACACACACACACACACACACACACACACACACACACAGTCGATATGACCAGACAGTGTGTTTAGAAGATCGTTTTCTCTGTGAAATATATATTTTCTTTATGATCTGTGGACGTTTCCTGGAGAGAAACTTTCACAATAAAATAGAGTAAGGGTGTCCTTTGGGCTCAGACTCGTGATTTCATGAGGACTTGACGTGTTTGGGGTCTTTTGACTCAGACTTGTTTAGTCCAGGTCTTACAGGTGCATTGACTCAGACTTGTTTAGTCCAGGTCTTGCAGGTGCATTGACTCAGACTTGTTTAGTCCAGGTCTTACAGGTGCATTGACTCAGACTTGTTTAGTCCAGGTCTTACAGGTGCATTGACTCAGACTTGTTTAGACGCCTGATTAAAGTCCTCCAAGGTCTCTGTTATGTGTTTTGATCGGGACTTGGGTCCACGGTGTTTTGAGGTATATTTTATCGACTCAATGAAGACATGTTGTATTAAATGGAGATGTATCTCTCACACACACACACACACACACACACACACACACACACACACACACACACCTGGTCAGGTTAACCCCCGCTGATCCCAGCTCGGTGTCTCGTTAACAAACCACCGTTTGATTCTCTCCTTCATCCTCCTGGGGCTTTGAAAGATGACACACACACACACTCTCACACACACACACACACACACACACACACACACACACTCACAGGTATTTGAAGTGGCCACACACAGGTAGCAGCAGCCACATTCCTGCTGCAGAGTTTCTGTTGCTTTGATTCCTCGACCAGCGCACTACGTGTGTGTGTGTGTGTGTGTGTGTGTGTGTGTGTGTGTGTGTGTGTGTGTGTGTGTGTGTGTGTGTGTGTGTGTGTGTGTGTGTGTGTGTGTGTGTGTGTGTGTGTGTGTGTGTGTGTGTGTGTGTGTGTGTGTGTGTGTGTGTGTGTGTGTGTGTGTGTGTGTGTGTGTGTGTGTGTGTGTGTGTGTGTGTGTGTCACTTTAATTGCCCTCTCAGATCACACACACTGGGTGTCTCGGCTGAAGAGCTTCACTTATTCCAGTAATTTCCGTGTGTGTGGACCTGCAGTGTGTGTGATGACTGCTTCATTGTCGAGCTTGTTTAAAGTGGAGCTCATTTAGGACGGAGGCTCTATTAGGGGTCAGTGTGTGTGTGTGTCAGCGAGGGTCAGTGTGTGTGTGTGTGTGTGTCAGCGGGGGTCACACAGGTGGGGACAAAGAGGGTCAGTGTACAGACACAAATAGACAAACTTAGTAAATTAAGTCTGCTCTGATTGGTTAGCTGTGTTGTGATTGGTCAACCCACTTAGAGATGTCCCGCCCCCTTAGCCTATCACGTACAATGTGTTGGAGCGATAGCCAATGGGAACCGAGTGGTACGTAGTGATGGAAGTAAATAAAACACTCTTTGATTTCAGAAAGTCGGTACATAACAACAGGATTATGTTTTCAGAAAAAGTGACAAATGTATATTTTTGATCTTCAAAAAAGGATGAGAAAGAGATGATATTTAAACGTCCTCAGAGACACATTTCTTCTGTTAGGATGCAGAGCACCTGAAGTGTGACGGGGACAAAATGCATATTCTCTCAGAAAGCTGGAAACAACTGGAGATTTCTTTCCCAAAATCGTCGTTTCTGGACTCTCCTACACACACACACACACACACACACACGCGCACGCACACACACACACACACACACACACACACACACACACTTACTCTTCTCTGAGGTGTTATTACATTCATACCATATGTATTTGAGCCTTTAATCTTCAAAGCGTGACCTTTGCAAAGCGTCTCCTCTCGGCGGCTCGCTGCTCGACTCGTTTCCAAAACCCAGCGCCGAGGAAACAAGGCGGGTAACATTTAAACTGCGTAAATGCTCTGTGTAGCCTCGGGGGTAAATATATATTTATATATCACAGACGCAGCGTTAGAGAGCCGTAGAGGTCACACACACACACACACACACACACACACACACACACACACACACACACACACACACACCTTGAAAACAATCACAGCTGCAGCGAGACACAAATCAGAAAGACTGTTTCCTCACGTCTGAATGTAGGAGGGTAACGCCTTGTTTGCTTCGCTCTATAGTCCCAATGTGAACCCTTAAACCTTGATTTTTCACAATAAAAGCTCTTCACAAACTTTATTTTGAAAGATCAGCAGGAAGTGTTTAATTCTCTCACATCCTGTGAAACGAGGCTCGATAACTTTGTGTTTCTGAGGAACAACATCGATAAAGTTTGGGAAGTTATGTTGCAAACTTAAACCCCCCCCCCCCTTCATCGTGCTCATTGACCCCGCCCACTCTCGCCACAAGTCACGCCCCCTTCACATCGTTTTTGTTTTTTTACGTCTGTGTTTTCTTCTTCTGCCGCAGCGAAGCGTAGAGCGTGGAAACTAAACCGTGTTGGTAGCCTCCGCAGCGTTTACTCCAACGAAGGTAACCAAACAACAACAACAACAACAACAGCTGTTGTGGTGGAACCAAGAGGAACCGTGGACCCCCCCCCCCCCCCCCCTAAATAACCCAAGCACGTAGAGGATCTTCTTTCATCCTAAACGTCTATAAACATGATTTCTATCTGGAATTGACCCATTACTCAAACCAGCCAATCAGTGCTCTCTGTCTCCCCTCCTCACCCCAACTATCTCAGGTGAATCCTCACCTGTCGTGTCCTTCCCTTATCTCACGGCCTCTTCGTACAAATCACAGCTCCTCACTCTCAGAGCGGCGTCGGTTGTTTTGCACTTTATTAAAGTCGTGGAGGAATAATATCTGGAGTAATGACCTGTGTCGCAAAGCAATCCTGTGTTCGCTGACATTTCAGGCTTTTAATTTGTGTTTCCCCGGGCCCCCACACACACACACACACACACACACACACACACACACACACACACACACTGAAACACACTCCTGCTGTATGCATGCTACCTCCCATCTGACACACACACACTGAAGCACACTCATCACACACACACACACACACACTGAAGCACACACACACACACACACACACACACTGAACACACACACTCCCTGTATAAAGGTTAGTGGTGTCAGAGTTCACAAATTGCCTCCGTGTGAATGTCGCGTTCAGTAGCCAGCAGCGGTGGCAGTAATTACCAGCGCTCTGTGTGTTTGTACTCTCATGCATACGTTTAGTAACTCAGACGCTTTGCAGGACGCTCACATTGCTTTTTTATTTATTGCATCTGAAGAATCAAAAAGACCTCCTCGAATGGAAACCAACGGGGGGTCTCTTTCTGCTACGAGACATGTTTGTGCCCCCGAAGAATCAGGATCATTCAATACAAATATGCCTTGTAGACGCCTACACTCCTATTGGCTATCTCCAACACATTGTACGTGATAAGGCTAAGGGGGCGGGACATCTCTAAGCGGGTGGACCAATCACAACAGAACTCTGGTTTCAGACAGAGGGTGAAAAAAGGACAGTATGAGAAAAATAAAGAGCTGGATCAGCAGGAGATACAGGATTTAAAATAAGACACTCTGATTGGTCCTTTACTTAAAGGTGGGGTAGGTAATTTACTTAAGATACGATAAGATAGGAAGTACTTTATTGATCCCAATTTGGAAAGCCCCCCCCTCCCTCTTTATTGCATTATAAGCAGCGTGTAATTTACGACGGGGGGCAGACCCTTTCTGGACTGTTGGCTTCAGTAATTGTCAGAAACCCCCCCTCCTCTATTCCGCCCGGCAACAGAGGATCATGGGAATGTAATTATGATGGGGTTCCTGCTCTTGACCCCGCGACACACCCTCAGGAAGGGATTACACTCAGATCTTTAACAGACGCTTTCTTCATGGTGTTTATTAACCGTGGCATTCATGTGAGGACGGGGTCTCATTTATTTGTTGTTTTCTTGTAATTATAGAGAGTTTTTCTGTCATTTGGCGTAAAAACAGATTCAAAAGCAGCTTAAATGGGTCTTTTGTTGGTTTTCCCTTCATTTTTTTAACAGTTTGGACATCGTTGTGATCGTGGTAAAAAATAAGAACTTTATTAAAAATAACTTAAAAAGGTAAATATTCATTATTGTTTTTGTCCTCAAAAAACCTAAAAAACAACATTTTTGCTTGATTTTTTTTGTTAAATATTCTGCGTTATAGTTTTTGTCTTCGTGAGTCATTTAATAATTTATTGTCTTTTTTAAATTGCGGAAACAGGATATTATTTTTGTCTTGAGAGCAATATTTCCCATCATCCTAGTTTTCAATCTTGCCGGCTTTTCAAAATAAAAGCCCAGTTTGACCTTGAGCTGTCCGCTGCAGTTTGAGCAGTTTGAATAAACGGAGGGTCGTCCGCCTGCAGCCAAGAGATAAAAAGAAACTCTGAGGTTTTCAATCTCTCCGTCCTGAGAGTTAAAGGTTCCCCTCAGGCCTCTTCCTCCTCCTCCTCCTCTTCCTCTTCCTCCTCCTCCTCCTCTCCGTCGGATTAAAATCTTTCCTTTCGGCTCACAAACTCCCAGAATCTGAGTCAGCAGAGATCAGACAGAAAGAGAGGCTTTTATTTTGAAGGGCTGTGTAATTGTAAACAGAAGCTGTGTGTTAGCTAACGGTTTCTAGGTGTGCAGAGACACACACACACACACACACACACACACACACACACACACACACACACACACACACACACACACACACACACACACACACACGCTCACACACACGCACACACACACACACATGCACACACACACACACACACCTTGATCCTCTTGAGGACAAACGAGTGCACGGAGATTTTCAGACTTTTATTCAATAATGATGTCTTTTTTGAGCGCTTTTAGGACCTTTTGCTCAACAATACAAAAAGTGGTAATACAGAATGTAAATAATAACGTATTAAACTAACCCCTCGTTGAGTTTCCTGTATTTTTCAGAACTTTTTTTGCCCAAATAATCTAAATATTTGCCTAAAGTCATGGACGTATTTAACTGTTTGTGTTTTGTGTGTTTCAGAGAGCGAGGAGAACTTTGAGTTCACCATCGTGTCTCTGACGGGGCAGACGTGGCACTTTGAGGCCACGTCGTACGAGGAGAGAGACTCCTGGGTCCAGCTGATCGAGAGCCAGATCCTGGCCAGCCTGCAGGCCTGCGAGAGCAGCAAGAACAAGGTGGGGGGGGGGCTTAAAACACTATATATCATACAGGAGAGCAGCAAGAACAAGGTGGGGGGGGGGGCTTAAAACACTATATATCATACAGGAGAGCAGCAAGAACAAGGTGGGGGGGGGGCTTAAAACACTATATATCATACAGGAGAGCAGCAAGAACAAGGTGGGGGGGGGGCTTAAAACACTATATATCATACAGGAGAGCAGCAAGAACAAGGTGGGGGGGGGGCTTAAAACACTATATATCATACAGGAGAGCAGCAAGAACAAGGTGGGGGGGGGGGGCTTAAAACACTATATATCATACAGGAGAGCAGCAAGAACAAGGTGGGGGGGGGGGGCTTAAAACACTATATCATACAGGAGAGCAGCAAGAACAAGGTGGGGGGGGGGGCTTAAAACACTATATATCATACAGGAGAGCAGCAAGAACAAGGTGGGGGGGGGCTTAAAACACTATATATCATACAGGAGAGCAGCAAGAACAAGGTGGGGGGGGGGCTTAAAAACACTATATATCATACAGGAGAGCAGCAAGAACAAGGTGGGGGGGGGGCTTAAAACACTATATATCATACAGGAGAGCAGCAAGAACAAGGTGGGGGGGGGGCTTAAAACACTATATATCATACAGGAGAGCAGCAAGAACAAGGTGGGGGGGGGCTTAAAACACTATATATCATACAGGAGAGCAGCAAGAACAAGGTGGGGGGGGGGCTTAAAACACTATATATCATACAGGAGAGCAGCAAGAACAAGGTGGGGGGGGGGGCTTAAAACACTATATATCATACAGGAGAGCAGCAAGAACAAGGTGGGGGGGGGGGGCTTAAAACACTATATATCATACAGGAGAGCAGCAAGAACAAGGTGGGGGGGGGGGGGGGCTTAAAACACTATATATCATACAGGAGAGCAGCAAGAACAAGGTGGGGGGGGGGGCTTAAAACACTATATATCATACAGGAGAGCAGCAAGAACACAGGGTGGGGGGGGGGGGCTTAAAACACTATATATCATACAGGAGAGGCAGCAAGAACAAGGTGGGGGGGGGGGCCTTAAAACAACTATATATCATACCAGGAGAGCAGCAAGAACAAGGTGGGGGGGGGGGCTTAAACACTATATATCATACCAGGAGAGCAGCAAGAACAAGGTGGGGGGGGGGCTTAAAACACTATATATCATACAGGAGAGCAGCAAGAACAAGGTGGGGGGGGGGGGCTTAAAACACTAGATATCATACAGGAGAAGCAGCAAGAAACAAGGTGGGGGGGGGGGGGCTTAAAACACTATATATCATACAGGAGAGCAGCAAGAACAAGGTGGGGGGGGGGCTTAAAACACTATATATCATACAGGAGAGCAGCAAGAACAAGGTGGGGGCGGGGCTTAAAACACTATATATCATACAGGAGAGCAGCAAGAACAAGGGGGGGGGGCGGGGCTTAAAACACTATATATCATACAGGAGAGCAGCAAGAACAAGGTGGGGGGGGGGCTTAAAACACAATATATCATACAGGAGAGCAGCAAGAACAAGGTGGGGGGGGGCTTAAAACACTATATATCATACCAGGAGAGCAGCAAGAACAAGGTGGGGGGGGGGGCTTAAAACCCTATATATCATACAGGAGAGCAGCAAAAACAAGGTGGGGGGGGGGGCTTAAAACACTATATATCATACAGGAGAGCAGCAAGAACAAGGTGGGGGGGGGGGCTTAAAACACTATATATCATACCAGGAGAGCAGCAAGAACAAGGGGCTTTCAGCAGCTTCTCTGTGTCATTAAAGGGTACTGTGCCTTTAAGAAACATAACTCACATGTTGTTGTTGTTTACTGAGTGTTGTTGTTGTTTCAGTCTCGTCTCCCGAGCCAGACGGAGGCGATGGCTCTGCAGAACATCAGGAGCATCAGAGGGAACGAACGCTGTGCAGACTGTGACGCTCAGAGTGAGAACACACACACACACACACACACACACTCACTCACTCACTCACTCACTCACTCACTCACTCACTCACTCACTCACTCACTCACTCACTGCACATGTTTTGCAGCAGTAAGACCCTCCCATAATAACCCCCTCCCCCTCCTCAGACCCGGACTGGGCCTCTCTGAACCTGGGCGCCCTGATCTGCATCGAGTGCTCTGGGATCCACAGGAACCTGGGCACGCACTTGTCCAGGGTGCGCTCTCTGGACCTGGACGAGTGGCCTCTGGAGCTGATCCGCGTCATGACGGCCATCGGCAACCAGCTGGCCAACAGCCTGTGGGAGGCGGAGCGGGGGGGGGCGGCAGAAGCCCTGCCCCGACGCCAGCAGGTAGACCACACACACACACACACACACACACACACACACACACACACACACACACACACACACACACACACTCACACACACACCCAGTATTGACGAGCCATTAGCCTCCTCTTGTTGCCTTTTATAGATGACGTGTTTCAGAGCAGGAGGTCAATATTATCTCAATGATCCAGAAACACTCCTCGTCCTCGTCCTCCTCCTCTTCCTCCATTCCTCCACACACTGCTCCTCTTCATATATCTTTCTACGGCCATCTCTTCATCTGTATGCTCGTTTATAATCATCAGAGACGACAGGAAAGTGTTTTCAATCTGAAGCTTCAGAAACAACAGGTTTCAGAATCTATTCAAACCTTATTCTGAAACCAAGGCAGCGTTCTGCGTTAAAGAGAGAGCAGAAGAAGAAGACGAGGGGGGGAGGGGTCTGATGGATGTAACCCCCCCATCACACACACACACACACACACACACACACCCCCCCCCCCTCGTGTTCTCTGGAGTGACTAATAGGGGCTGAGATTCCATTTAGCAAGTGGCTGATTTAATGATCAGGGTAATTAATGTGCTGATTATCTTAATGTTAAAGATGGCCGGCAGCAGCTTCACTGACCTCCTGTCTGTCAAGGTCCCCCCAAAAGACCCCCCCCCCCCAAAAGACCCCCCCCAAAAGACCCCCCCCAAAAGACCCCCCCCCCACACACACACAATTAGGTGCGTTTTGGAGGGAGGGGGGAGAGATATACTTATATCTATATATTGTTATTGTGTGTCTGCACGTTGTTGGCATGTACAGTGTGTGTGTGTCTTGTTGTTGTTGTGCAAGAAGTCTATATGTCAACAGAATATGAAATTAAATAATGTACATTAAGACTAAATTAAATACGCTTTATTATAGGATTTAAACACCTCCATCCTCTTACTGCCCCAACACACACACACACACACACACACACACACACACACACACACACACACACACACACACACACACACACACACACACCCCAGAGCTGGTGCCAACACTCCACACTTCATTAAAACAATCAACCAAATTTAGCCTCCCCTCACCCAGCTGACGCCCTGCTGGAGGGTGTGTGTGTGTGTGTGTGTGTGTGTGTGTGTGTGTGTGCGTGTATATATATATATGTGTGAGTGTGTGTGTGAGGGTGGGGTTAATGGGAGCGTTTAGAGGGGCTTTTGGTGATCCAGAAACACTCTGAAAACACACATCATCTGCAACAAGTAACACACACTCTCTCTAAAGCCCTGTAACCATCACACACACACACACACACACACACACACACACACACACACACACACACACACACACACACACACACACACACACACACACACACACACACACACACACACACACACACACACAGACACATAGACAGACACTCACACACACTCTCTGCAGCCCTGCAACCATCACACACACACACACACACACACACACACACAGACACATAGACAGACACTCACACACACTCTCTGCAGCCCTGCAACCATCACACACACACACTCACACACACACACTCACACACACATAAATACACTCCTTTGTTTACTTCCAGACATAGTGACATCACTGTGGAACACTCGCATTGCTCCTATTGGCTAGCGCTCCAACACACTGTACGTGATAAACTAAAGGGGGCGGGACATCTCCAAGCCGGTTGACCAATCAGAGCAGAGACTGGGCTCTGGTTTCAGACAGAGGGTGAAAAGCGATATTTAGATGGATACTGGGGGGGTCATAATTCAGAGTGGGGGGTCTTTATGGGAACAGATTAGTCTTGTTCCCCCCCCCCCCCCCCCCAAGCGCTAACAGATTTAAAATTACTCCGGGGCTTTTAATTTGGCGGGGTGCAGGTGTGTAGTCGGGCAGGATTGGGCTCTGGGGACCTGAGGGGGGGGGGGGGGGCACATCACAGATAACTGCCCCCCAGGGTCAGGGGCTCTCGTACACACACACACACACACACACACACACACACACACACACACACACTGATGGTGTTATGGTTGCTGACAGGAAGTGATTTAAAACGCTGTAAATATGAAAAATAATCGACAATATTTTCATCATTTTTCATCAAAACATCAATTTGGACCAAATTGATGTTTTTGTTTACTATTTCCTGACCGTTTAAACACCTTAAATATAGTATCAAAGGATTCAGGATCACATAGTTGAGTCTAATTGTGAGTTATGAAGAAACACACGGTAACATTTAGTGGAAAACTCATATAACTGGAAGTCATATCTTCCGCAGAAATGTCTCTAAATTCTCTGTAATCTGGAGATTTGCAGCTTTTCTCTGTTTTATATCTTTTTAAAGTGAATATTTCTAACATTTAAACACATTTTTCTTTATTTTCTGATATATTAAAGGTCCCATGTCATGCTTTTCCGGTTATTACCCGTCCCCTTGTGTTCTGTAGCTTCTGCATGTGAACGGTCTGCAGAGTCACAAACCCTCAGAGTGCACCCTGTAGAGAGTAAAACTCTAACACAGAAAGACCTGTCTCTGCTGCCCCAGAACGCCTCGTTGGACATTTCTCTTTTTCCATTGTTTACTTCTTGGGTATAGTGACGTAACGTAACGTCCGCGGAGCCGTTACGTTTGGACCAATCCGCGGACTTCCTCACACACACACTCTGTGGGACGTTGCGAGGCTCGCTGCTGCGAGGAGCGGGACACTGTGAGCTGGCTCACTGGTGTGGGGTCGGCGAGACACCGCAGAACTCAGCCTGAGCACACACACAAACTCCCAGCCAGGCTGCGGGTGTGTGTGTGTTCGGGCTGGGTTTCGCTGTGTCTCGCTGTCTCACAGACGACCACTGGGCTCACAGGGAGGGGGGGGGGGCAGGAGCTCCAACAAGCCGTGTAGGACAGAGAGTGAATACACAGACTATACAGAGATGCTGTATGAGAAACCAATGTGAGTTTGGAACATTGAACAATGTCAATCTATTCTAGTAGACCTCAACAATGGAATTATGATCAGTAGAAATGGATCTTTAAACATCATACATCTAGAAAAGAATCTGCAGAATCATCTATATGATAATTATATTTAGTTTAAGACCTATTAACGACGAGTAAAGTCAACTCGAGAAATAATCCTTAATATTTGGAGGAAAGCTTTTCCTGTAGAGCTGTTATGAGAATCTGCTTTTAGTCTGAAAATACAGGTCATTTTTAATGCCATAAAGGTTGTTTTCAGCCTCTCACATGTGGATATCGCTGATAAAAACAACACATTTCTTCTCAGTTAATCCATAATGATAATAAATATTGTGTATTTTATTATATTTACTCAAATCCTCAAAGTTCAGGAGGAGGAGTCAGAGATTATACTATTTCTCGCCTAGAAATACTAGAATAATTCATTTAATATAAGTACAGCTGATGGTTATCATAATGAACATCTCAGCTTTATATTACACCCGTGAAAAATCTTAATATATTTAAAAAATCGTCCGAAATAGAGAAAAAACTGAAAAACATATATTTTTCACAATAAAAGCATCATTTATTTGCACGAATAACTGTTAACATCCCATGAGATCACAGGTGTGTGTGTGTGTGTGGTGTGTGTGTGTGTGTGTGTGTGTGTGTGTGTGTGTGTGTGTGTGTGTGTGTGTGTGTGTGTTGTGTGTGTGTGTGTGTGTGTGTGTGTGTGTGTGTGTGTGTGTGTGTGTGTGTGTGTGTGTGTGTGTGTGTGTGTGTGTGTGTGTGTGTGTGTGTGTGTGTGTGTGTCAGTTTTTCTCCTCTGCAGTCGGTTAACTCTCCGTTCTGCCCTCATCTTCTCCGCCATTATTATCTGCTGCAGCCCCCACGGCCTGCATGTTAAACAGCACACACACACACACACACACACACACACACACACACACACACCCACACACACACCCACACACACACACACACACTGACAGACGCAGTAAAATAATTGGCCCCTTGCTCTCTAACTCATCTGTAACAGGGGGGCCTTGATTAAATTAGTCCTAATAGACATTATTTTGTACATCGCTGCCCCCCCCCCCCCAACCCCACCCCCCCACCCCCCTCGCCAATTTACTGTTGACATTAAGCCGTCTGACACGAGCCAATCACAGCGACCGCCCGTCGTTTGTCATCGCTAAGCTAAACGCTAACTACATCTCCTCTTATGCCTGAGTCATCGGATTATTTTAATAATGAAGAAATAAATAACGCTCGCCTCCCTGTGGCTAATTGGCTCGTGCAATAAAAAGAAATGTGAGGATGGGGGAGAGGGTAATGTGTTTGGATTGAATGGGATCACAAGGAGCGGCTGGTAAACATTTCAAACGCTCCTCTTTATTTATTTCCTCTGCAGATAATGTACTTTATTTAACAACGCGGAAATAAACGCGCCGTTCTGAGAGTCATTTAGTGAGAAATCAGGTCAGACTCTGCAGATCTGAGGGAATACTTCATGCATTCAGCGAGTTTTTAACGTGTTATTGTATTTAAAATGATAAGGGGTAGAAAACAACACAATCCTGGACTCATTTTTCTATATTTAGCTGTTTTTTGGGTCATAAATCTGAATTATCTCAAATATCTTGATAATTAAAGTCATCTTTTCAGCAGAAATGTCTCTCAGTAATCTGCCTCTTTTCTCTGTTTTATATCTTATTAAAGTGAATATTTCTAACATTTAAACACATTTTGGAAGGAGTCCTGCAGATTTAAGGAAAACACTTCATGCTTTTCCTGTTTCTGACCATCGATGATGAGTGGCAGGACGATGAAACCCTGCACCTATTTCTCTATATTTTGCATTTAATGTAGGACTTCTTCATGCAATTAGAGTCAGGACATAGAGTCAGGACATAGAGAGTCAGGACATAGAGAGTCAGGACATAGAGAGTCAGGACATAGAGAGTCAGGACATAGAGTCAGGACATAGAGTCAGGACATAGAGTCAGGACATAGAGAGTCAGGACATAGAGTCAGG